ATTTTTTAATATTTGATAACTTTTTATTCCGTAGTTATCATTGCCTTATACCAACTTTTATGCAACATTTAATGAATGAAATGTTAGTTAGTGTACAAAGGTGAAGTGAAACTAACCGCTGGTATCAATCACATCATAAATAGATGATGTCATTGTCTTTGCAGATAATAACTAAGCATATTTTTATTTTTAGCTTCAAAAATTTTGTTGATATTTCAAAGAATGTTCAGTGATCAATTTGGTGTATTCTCTGGTTTTTTTTTTTTTCTTGCAACTAAAACCAGAATTGAAATTATGAACGTGTTACTGTGTGCCAAAACATGTACAAAGAAAAACTAGCTTTTTCTAATTAAGCGGTTCCGTTGTAAAGCCCTTCTTTTGATGATTTAAATGTAAAACTAACACTTTGAGACAACCTTTGTTTTATTCTATTTGATTTTGTTCCATTTCATCTCATTTCACTTTTTTTTTTTTTTTGCCCACCCAAGCACTACGAAGATAACTTGTTAAACGAAAACTGAAACCTAGCGCTAAGAAAATGGCAATTTTTTCACAAAAGTTACAGTTGAGAGTCGATTCATTATCTTCCCACTTCTCCATCTGCATCCTCTAATTGAACCTGATCAGATCAACGACCCTGTGCTTAGGTAGGTAGAGGTAGGTAGGTAGGTAGGTAGGTAGATGTGCATACCTAAAAGCAATGACCCATTTGAAAGAAAAACTATTAAGGTGGTTGCAAATTGAAATTTGGCGAGCACACTGAGTCATAGTTTGCACTTTTTTCATCTTAAAGACATTGCTTTTCTGCTGCTGCTGCTGCTGCTGCTGCTGCTGTTGCCTGTTATTTTGGATGCCATTTTCAAAAAAATGTTTCGTCTTCTTCAATCAACTTCAACTTCAGTTATTTTTCCTTTTTTTTTTTTTTATTCTTTGAAAATTTTACAATACTTTTTCTTTTTAGAGTTATTTTGTACATATCTCAGGCTTAAGTACTGGTTTTGTTGCTTGAAATTTCAAAATATTATTGCTGCCGATAGTTTAGAAATATATAAACATTAGCTTTGGGTATTATTATCGACAGCTAAGGTGATAATAAATTTTTATGAACTATCTTTATGGTTTACTACAGTACAGAAGTAGCCCTGTGTTAATCAGTGGAGCAAATATATTAACAGGAAACTATGTGTAGAATCTGACGTAAGTCAATCCAATGAAAAACTAAGCAGTAAAATTTTGTCTTTTTCTTTTTCAGGCAACTGGTGCACAACTGTGTTTGAATTAGTAAAGATAAAATAATAGATTTCAGAAGAAAAAACTTTTTTTGCAACAATTTAACGAGGCTATCGGACGTTGTAAACTACGGGGGTACTGTGCACAGCTGCTGAAACTGATTGATACAGACAGCTGTGAATCTCAAAAATTGCCTTAAAAAAGAATTGATGAGAAGAGATGCTTTGGATACTGTAGAAGAAATAATAGACAATAACTAACTTTTAACAGAACGTATTCATAATACTGTTAGCCAAAATACTGCTGAAAAAAAAAAAGGTAAAATTTGATCGCTTTAAAAACATCATCTCTTTTTTTTTTTTACCACATTTGCCAAATCTGTCATCAGCAGATTATCGTTTTTTTTTGAACCTCAAAATAATTTATTGAATCTGATTTTTATTAATGTATTATCAGAGATTTTTTAGATTTTTTAACGTCTGAATGATATGGAAAATGGTTCTTCAAAAATTGTGCTTTATTGATGTAAAAGTATTTATTGCACTTAATGCTTTTTGATATTGACCACTAAAATCTACTTGAAAGAATGTTACAATATATTTTGCAACTTTGCTTTAACAGCTTAAGTTTTTCTACTGCAGCAGTTTTCTGCTTATGCTAACAGTTGTAACTTCAAACTAAACTTCCTTTCTTTCCACTTCTTTTCCTATAAAAAAAAAAAAGCTGTCTGATTATGAAGAACGTTTAGTTATTTGTTACTTCTACTGTTAAAAAAAATGCAGTAGACATATCTCTGGTTATGTTTTGTTTAAACCAACAGAAAGAGTCAATAAATACCTCCAAAAATCAGATTATTTTGTAGACAAATTAAGTTATTGTTCATTTTTAGTCTCTCGTAACCTTTGACAGCAAAAAAGAAATATTAAATTAATTAAATGAAACAAAAAAAGAAAACAGTTGCTTCTTAATTTTCTTGTTGTTTTTTACCTACGAATATATCAACAGTGATTAGTGGCAATCTTTTATTCACTGTTCTGTTGTTGCATTGTTCCAAATTCTTTGGTGTATTTTTTCAATTTTTTTCTAAAAAAAAGAGCTTTTTTCACAGGTTTACTGATACGAAGCACCAATATTTGTTTATTTCGTATTTTGTTGAAAAATACGAACTATTATTGAATTATTTGTCGGCAATAAACCAAACATTTTCTTAATGTTCATTTACAGTTGAAATTCAACTTTTGATCATCGACAGTGTTTATTAGGGGTTCTGTAATCTTGCAAGTTCATATGTGGTATTGAAGTTTATACCAGTGTAAAATTGTCTGTTGACTGTAAATGA